ATTATAGGGGTCCCAGAAGGAGAAGAGAGAGAGAAAGGACCAGAGAAAATATTTGAAGAGATTATAGTTGAAAACTTCCCTAACATGGGAAAGGAAATAGCTACCCAAGTCCAGGAAGCACAGAGAGTCCCATACAGGATAAACCCAAGGAGAAACACGCCGAGACACATAGTAGTCAAATTGGCAAAAATCAAAGACAAAGAAAAAATTTTAAAAGCAGCAAGGGAAAAATGACAAATAAATACAAGGGAACTCCCATAAGGTTAACAGCTGATTTCTCAGCAGAAACTCTACAAGCCAGAAGGGAGTGGCATGATATACTTAAAGTGATGAAAGGGAAGAACCTACAACAAGATTACTCCACCCAGCAAGTATCTCATTCAGATTCGATGGAGAAATCAAAAGCTTTACAGACAAGCAAAAGCTAAGAGAACTCAGCACCACCAAACCAACTCTACAACAAATGCTAAAGGAACTTCTCTAAGTGGGAAACACAAGAGAAGAAAAGGACCTAAAAAAAAAAACCCAAAACAATTAAAAAATGGTAATAGGAACATACATATCAATACTTACCTTAAACGTGAATGGATTAAATGATCCAACCAAAAGACACAGGCTCACTGAATGGATACAAAAACAAGACCCATATATATGCTGTCTACAAGAGGCCCACTTCAGACCTCGGGACACATTCAGACTGAAAGTGAGGGGACGGAAAAAGATATTCCATGCAAATGGAAATAAAAGAAAGCTGGAGTAGCAATACTCATATCACATAAAATAGACTTTAAAATAAAGAATATTACAAGAGACAAGGTAGGACACTACATAATGATCAGGGGATCAATCCAAGAAGAAGATATAACAATTATAAATATATATACACCCAACACAGGAGCACCTCAATACATAAGGCAACTGCTAACAGCCATAAAAGAGGAAATCGACAGTAACAAAATAATCGTGGGGGACTTTAACATCTCACTTATGCCAATGGACAGATCATCCAAAATGAAAATAAATAAGGAAACAGAAGCTTTAAATGACACAATAGACCAGATAGATTTAATTAATATTTATAGGACATTCCATCCAAAACAGCAGATTACACTTTCTTCTCAAGTGCACATGGAACATTCTCTAGGATAGATCACATCTTGGGTCACAAATCAAGCCTCAGTAAATTTCAGAAAATTGAAATCATATCAAGCATCTTTTCTGACCACAATGCTATGAGATTAGAAATCAATTACAGGGAATAAAATGTAAAAAACACAAACACATGGAGGCTAAACAATACGTTACTAAATAACCAAGAGATCACTGAAGAAATCCTCAACAAAATACTAGCAAACAAAATGCAACAGCACATTGAAAGGATCATACACCATGATCAAGTGGGATTTACCCCAGGGATGCAAGGATTCTTCAGTATATGCAAATCAATCTATGTGATACACCATATTAACAAATTGAAGAATAAAAACCATATGATCATCTCAATAGATGCATGAAAAGCTTTTGACAAAATTCAACACCCATTTATGATAAAAACTCTCCAGAAAGTGGGCTGCACTTTCTGAGGTAGAGGGAACCTACCTCAATGTAATAAAGCCCATATACGACAAACCCACAGCAAACATCACTGTCAATGGTGAAAAACTGAAAGCATTTCCTCTAAGATCAGGAACAAGACAAGGATGTCCACTCTCACCACTATTATTCAACATAGTTTTGGAAGTCCTAGCCATGGCAATCAAAGAAGAAAAAGAAACAAAAGGAATACAAATTGGAAAAGAAGAAGTAAAACTGTCACTGTTTGCAGATGACATGATACTATACATAGAGAATCCTAAAGATGTCACCAGAAAACTACTAGAGCTAATCAATGAATTTGGTAAAGTTGCAGGATACAAAATTAATGCACAGGGCTTCCCTGGTGGCGCAGTGGTTGGGAGTCCGCCTGCCAATGCAGGGGATGCGGGTTCGTGCCCCAGTTTGGGAAGATCCCACATGCCGCGGAGCGGCTGGGCCCGTGAGCCATGGCCGCTGAGCCTGCGCGTCCGGAGCCTGTGCTCCGCGGCGGGAGAGGCCACAACAGTGAGAGGCCCGCATACCGCAAAAAAAAAAAAAAATTAATGCACAGAAATCTCTTGCATTCCTATACACTAATGATGAAAAATCTGAAAGAGAAATTAAGGAAACACTCCCATTTACCACTGCAACAAAACGAATAAAATACCTAGGAATAAAGCTACCTAGGGAGACAAAAGACCTGTATGCAGAAAACTATAAGACACTGATGAAAGAAATTAAAGATGATACCAACGGAGAGATATACCATGTTCCTGGACTGGAAGAATCAATATTGTGAAAATGACTATACTACCCAAAGCAATCTACAGATTCAATGCAATCCCTATCAAATTACCAATGGCAGTTTTTATGGAACTAGAACAAAAAAATCTTAAAATTTGTATGGAGACACAAAAGACTCCAAATAGCTAAAGCAGTCTTGACGGAAAAAAACAGAGCTGGAGGAATCAGACTACCTGACTTCAGACTATACTATAAAGCTACAGTAATCAAGACAATATGGTACTGGCACAAAAACAGAAATATAGATCAATGGAACAAGATAGAAAGCCCAGAGATAAACCCACGCACCTATGGTCAACTAATCTATGCCAAAGGAGGCAAGGATATACAATAGAGAAAAGACAGCCTCTTCAATAAGTGGTGCTGGGAAAACTGGACAGCTACATGTAAAAGAATGAAATTAGAACACTCTCTAACACCATACACAAAAATAAACTCAAAATGGATTTGAGACCTAAATGTAAGACTGGACACTATAAAACTCTTAGAGGAAAACATAGGAAGAACACTCTTTGACATAAATCACAGCAAGATCTTTTTTGATCCACCTCCTAGAGTAATGGAAATAAAAACAAAAATAAACACACGGGACCTAATGAAACTTCAAAGCTTTTGCACAGCAAAGGAAACCATAAACAAGACGAAAAGGCAACCCTCAGAATGGGAAAAAATATTTGCAAATGAATCAACGGACAAAGGATTAATCTCCAAAATATATTAACAGCTCATGCAGCTCAATATTAAGAAAACAAACAACCCAATCCAAAAATGGGCAGAAGACCAAAATAGACATTTCTCCAAAGAAGACATACAGATGGCCAAGAGGCACATGAAAAGCTGCTCAACATCACTAATTATTAAAGAAATGCAAAACAAAACTACAATTAGGTATCACCTCACACCGGTTAGAATGGGCATCATCAGAAAATCTACAAACAACGAATGCTGGAGAGGGTGTGAGGAAAGGAAACGCTCTTGCACTGCTGGTGGGAATGTAAACTGATACAGCCACTATGGAGAACAGTATGGAGGTTCCTTAAAAAATAAAAATAGAATTACCATATGACCCAGCAATCCCACTACTGGGCATATACCCAGAGAAAACCATAATTCAAAAAGACATATGCACCCCAATGTTCAATGCAGCACTATTCACAGTAGCTATGTCATGGAAGTAACCTAAATGCCCATCGACAGATGAAAGGACAAAGAAGTTGTGGTACGTATATACAATGGAATATTACTCAGAGATAAAAAAAGAACGAAAATTGGGTCATTTGTAGAGATGTGGATGGACCTAGAGACTGTCATACAGAGTGAAGTAAGTCAGAAAGAGAAAAACAAATATTGTATATTAATGCATATATGTGCACTAGAAAAATGGTACAGATGAACCAGTTTGCAAGGCAGAAATAGAGACACAGATGTAGAGAACAAATGTATGGACACCAAGCGGGGAAAGCAGGGCAGGGCAGGGGTCAGTGGTGGTGAGATGAATTGGGAGATTGGGATTGACCTATATACACTAATATGTATAAAATAGATAACTAATAAGAACCTGCTGTATAAAAAATAAATTTTAAAAATTCAAAAATAAAAAAAATATTTGCAATGCATATGCAAAGAGCTAATTTTCATAATATTAAAAAGTAGTTGTAAATCAATAAGTAAAGATAAATAATCTATTGGCAAAAAATAGTAACAGATAATTAACAAAAAAGGAAATAAACATACAAAAAGGTGCCTAACCTACCTTAAAATAAATTTGTAAATATACAAGATACATTTATCACTTCTCAGGTTGACAAGGATAAAAAATGTGACATGTATGGGAATAGAGGCACCCTTAGGCAGTTTTGGTGAGGGTACAAATCCACAACTGGTGGGGCAATTAGGCAATATCAACATTTAAAATACTCAAACCTCTTTATCCATCAATTCAACTCTTAGGAATTTCTCCTACATATATATTCATACTTGTGTACAATGACATATATATGAGGTTCGTGTCAGCATTATTATTCAGAGCCAAAAAACTGTAATTAACTAAATTTACATATAACTAAATAACCGAATGTGACATTGAAGATAAATTGTGTTGTAGCTCTATCAAAGAAGACTGTACAGCCATCAAAGAAAAGATACACAAGATATATTCATATTTTTAAATAAAACAGGATAAGAAGTGTCTGTAATATGTTTCCATTTGTGAAGAAAAATATATCACTTTATTTATGCCTCCTATGCCAAATCAATTCTGAAAGATACACAGGGAAGGAAAACGGCAGACAAGGGTAAGAAAGAGACATACTACATACCTTCTTCTGCCTTTGGAATTTTGTACCATGTATATGTGTGCCTACTTTTAAAAAAAGCAATTACTTTTAGTTATTGAAATAAAATAAATGCCTCCATCAAAAGACCTCATCCCTGCTCCTCCAACCTTTCCCCTCAATCCAATCCAGTCCACCCACCTGCACCTCTGCTAGAGATAGATTGCATTTCTTACTGCCAAATGAACTCCATGGCCCATGCATCTACTGGTAAGTTTCTCTCCTACACACACTCCTTTCACCCACAGCCTGCCCTTAGACATTCAACTCCAATGTCTCTCCACCCAGGAGCCTTCTCTGACTATCCATCGATGCTTTTTCCCCTCAAGAATGGGATGTTGGGCTTCCCTGGTGGCGCAGTGGTTGAGAGTCCGCCTGCCGATGCAGGGGACACGGGTTCGTGTCCCGGTCCCGGAAGATCCCACATGCCGCGGAGCGGCTGGGCCCGTGAGCCATGGCCGCTGAGCCTGCGCGTCCGGAGCCTGTGCTCCGCAACGGGAGAGGCCACAGCAGTGAGAGGCCCACGTACCGCAAAAAAAAAAATAATAATAATAAATAAATAAATAAATAATTCCATTGCTGGCTCTTACTTTGTGTGGATTACTCTTTTTTGGAAACCAGATAGTGAAGTGTCTTGAAAGTAGGAAGGCAACATGACTAAAATATCTTTGTACCCTTGACACTGCCCAGCTTAGGACTAAGCACAGATTGATGGCTCACCATGCCAGATGGGTGAAGGACTGGATGCTGGAGGAAGGACCAAGTAGTAACTTCAGAGATACTGAGGCCAAGAATTTTTTGGCTGGGAGACCACTTTTACCAGGGAAAGACTCTCAAGGAAATTCAGAAATTTTGAGATACTGGAGTCATATCACGATATCCACAGACAGCCAAGCAGGTAACATAATGTCTAAATCAATAGTCAAGGTGTAGGAGTGATGGATCCTGGGGCTGGTTGGAAAACACCTGTCATTCCTAAAAGTTAGTAAAATCCAGGTTAAAAAAAAAAACAAACTCCTCAGGTAAACAGCGTATATCCAGAGTAGATATATGGAAGTGGCCATATATTCCAATAATTCTTAGTTGGAAGTGGCCACTTTTCTCTGTAGGAAGTCATCTTCCTGAGCAAGTGGAATGCTGTCACATGGGTAGAGGTGCTTTGGAACACAAAACTTTGGATAGTCCTCCAGAAGTGAACCAGATTCATGTGCCTCCATTGAAGGCAGTGTTTACATTCTCTTCCCACCACACAGAATAGAGGCTTCCCTTCCGCCACATATTTAAATTTAAAGATGCTGCCACCTTGGCCTTTCCCTGCCACATCAACTATGGTCCCCTTCATGCACCTCTGGTTTCCCATCACCCACTGCCTGTAACATCAAAGTTCTCCATTCCCAAGCCATACCAGACTCTGCTGTCCCTAAACTCATGTGTGCTTCGCACATATATTTCCAGTACAGGTGGAGGAGCTTATAGAGGTTCCTCTGTCCCAGCCACTCTTCCTCAGTTTTCGGGGGATGGGTGACCAGACAGCTGTTGCGAAGGAAGAGCCGAGCTGTCAGGCTGGTGGAGGGTGTGGAGAATGAAGACAAAGTGGGAGCACAGACACTGCCTGTGAGCGGCGCCTTCAGTCCTTACAGACAACCAGACACCCTCATCTACAGACTGAATCACCAGTGAGCTTCCCTAGACAGGTAAAGGTCTTTGACACCACACCTGCCTTGTGAAACAGGAGGGCTTTGTGATACAGTCTGGTGGCCTGGTTCTGTCATCTGTGAGGCGGAGGCCACAAGGCATAGCACTGGGAGTCATCAGGCACCAGGACCCTGAATGCCTACATATAGGGATGGTTGGTCTCCTTATGCTAATGAGGTTTAGACCATGCTGAGCCTGACTTCTCTTCTGTGGGATTTGGGGTATCCCTTATATACCTATGGCTCCATCTTCATTATTATCCTAATTATCTGGCAGGTGAAAAAGAGTTACCATGGATTAACACTGGAACCTAAAAGGAGCTGCTGCCTGGTAGGGAAACACGATGACCATGGCTGAACCAAGCAAGCCTCAGATAAGATACATTCAATTACTCTTTATAGTAATTCTCTTTCTCAGAGCCTAGAAATAATTCTTTGCCAGGCCATCCCTGCAGTGTACTCTAACTGAAAAATCAAGAATCTCTCTATCGGGCTTGGGTTGAGTCCTAGGTAAAGTGGAATCCACCTCACTGGATCTCTTCTGACCTCCCAAAATGGGGGATTTTTCTGATTGGTGGACTTAGTAAGCAAAAGCCCTTGGCTGAGAACCACTAACCATTTAATCAGTGCCATTATTCCTCCTGTGTCACACTAAATCCCCTGAAAATATTGTCCTGGGAAAGGGGACAGGAGGTATGGAATGTGGAGAGCCCTGAAGTAAGCACACAATAAATAGAAAAATGAAATATTCAGGTGAAAGGGTGGAGTACAGGAAGGCAATATAGGGCAGTGTATAACATACAGACAAATATATAGAAACAGACTGGGAAATGTATATTTCCTTTGTTTCACTTTAGACATGAAAAAGAAAATCGTGTCCCAGCTTCACACTCTCTTTGACCTTTAAGCGTCACCGGAAAGTCAGACAAAGGGCTAGAGATGCAGCATCAAGAGGTAAAGTCCCAGTCTCTGCTCTGACTCCCCTCCACTGTGGGTGAGATTCCCATGAACCCTGTCCCTCGATGACCCCTGGTGCCAGGAGCCAGGTGTTCTAACCACTGAAGGCTTCAGTTCTCCAAGTTGACAAAATCTGCCAGAAAACTGTTTTGGGTGGGAAATCAGAGTCTGGGAATGTTCCAAAATTCTCTACCTTACCCCTGGGAATGAAGAGTGAGGAAGCAGGGAAAAAGTCCTTAATTGTGTCATTTACTAGTTTTATGTTTACTAGTTTCCACTTCCCTGTGGAAGTCACTTCATCTTTCAGTCTTGTTACCATGAAATGGGCATCTGATGATCCTGCCTCACTCACAGTGTAGTTGTGAAGATCAAATGAGAGCAGGTCCAGGAGAGCACACCATACCTGGTTGAGTGGTACACAGACGTGCCTCACAGCACTAACCGTTGGGGTTTGCGGTCTCCTCTCATTCAGAGGCCTTCAGCTTCCTATAGGATGTCCCTGGGTCCACTCCTGCTCCATGTAACACTGTCACCTGGTTTCTCAGCTAGGAGACTTTCCCAGGAAGAAGCTGAAAAGCCATGGGAGCTGCTCTCTGTCATGAAAAGGTGATCTCCTGCTCTTTGCAGTCTCCCAACTCCCAGCCTGGTCTGTGATCATTTCTCTGCTTGGCCTGGGGCAGGGTTGGGGAGAAGGACAGTGGCTGAGAGGGAGCCAGACAGTGGAGCCTGGAGCACTGGTTGAGAGCGTTGCCAGGGCAGAGGGGGATCAGATATTTCAGGAGAGAGGAGTTCCCTAGTTCTGCTCTGTGCTAGGCTCACAGTGGCCCTGGAATTCAGAATTTCACTAGTGCATAGTTCATAAAAGACTCTACATGGGTTTGCACTCAGCCACAAGACAAGTTTTACAGTCAGGAGGATGGATAATTGAGTGAATAATTTTCATCATTTTCATATTCTCTTTACAGCTACACCCTTTCAAGGGCAGCCCCCTGGACCCTGCTGACATTACCTCCTCTGGTTCTGTCTTCAGCGGGGCCAGTTCCTGGGACAGCCCTCAGACAGGAGCTTGTCATATATCATACCCTTCTTCTCTAGATCTCTAGAGAATGGGGATGGACTCTCAAGAGATGTTGTGTACACCCTTTAATCCCCAGAACACAGAATTCCCAAAAGGATCTCCTTTTCTACAGTTTAGAAATACTGAATACCAGGCTGCGGCCTAAGCCCGAAAAGAGAATGACTCCAGGTTCTACCTGGTGATGTTCCTGGTGCTGCCCCATCAGCTAACCATTGGCTCCCCCATCTACCTGGTTCCTTCTCCTAGTTCAGCTTCTCAACACAGGTCAGCAGGGAACTCACCCACCTCCCAGTCTCTCAAGGCCCTGTGCTCCCAGCTGTTGTCTGAGACCTCGCCCAATAAGCCCCAGGCCATCAGCCCAGCCCACCATAACTTGCCAAATGGCATTTCCCTAGGGAAAAAAAAAAAAAAAGCACATGAGTAAACACCCAGCGGATGCAGGCCTCAGGGTTTACAGGACTAGGGGAGGGCAGGCACAATCTCCAGGCCACACACTTGCGAAGAGGCAGATGTCACTCCATCAGTAACTAACAGTTGCCATGTTTCCCTGCCAGCCGGGGCTGGCTTCCTCGGGAGGGGAGTGTGCAGCAGCTCCTGTGTGCAGATTCCTGCTGCCAAACCTGCGATGCCATGGCTCTGGAGATTCAGCAGGTGGTGGTGGGTGAGAACACCCTGATCTCCCCCACTTCAAGGAGGCTGTCACAGGGCTGCTCTTACCTAGAGATTTTTGTCCACGTCTAAAGTGTCTTCTGAGCAGAGACTGGAGCATCGTTCCCCACACTCCAAAGACCTTTCACTTCCATCTGCAACCTTCACAGTGTCAGAGAAATCCTTAACCCAGTCATCTGCCCAGTCAACAGGTGCAGCTAGCATCCATGATTACTGGGCTGAACACCTCAAGCTAAGGCAGGGATTTCAAGTACCAGAGGTGCCCAGGGGCCCAGAGACTATGTTTTCTTCAAGGTTTGAGGAAACTAAGGTTTCAGTAAACCTGCAGGAGATGATGCAGAGCAACCCCAACCTTGTCTATGGGAACCAAGGCCAGCAGCCCTTGAATTCTCAGGTCTCTCTGCAGACCCTGAACCGAGAAGTCACAGCCCTGACACATGCTATGGCCTTACATATGGTCACTGTCCTCCCTGCCCACCTGTTATTCCTCAGTACTGAAGTCCGGAGGCTTCTTGAGGTACATGTAAAAGGACTGATGCACTTCCAGAGGTGGGGGCTCCCCAGACGTGTGGAAGAGTCCCTGAGGCAGCTTATACCAGATCCGCCATTATTTTACCACCCTGTACATAACCAACCAGACTCTTTCATCCAGAATGATACTTCTCAGTTCTCTACTGAGAAATTTGGGACCGTTTCATACCAGAACTGGGGTTCACGTACGGTCGGCCAGCCCAGCCAGGCCTTCTGGGTTTCTAAGTGGTCCATTATGGACCCAGAACAAAGACACTACTACCAGCAAATCCCAGACAATATGGCTCTAGCCTTGCCCTCTCCAGCCCTTAAAGAATTAAGTGGCCTTTATCTAATGCCTGGGCAACAGGCTAACGACTCAGTGGGCCATGTGCAGCCGAAATATAGCCAGCCATTCTGTGGCCTCCCTTCTCTGCACAGTGAGTCCCGGGTTGACACTTTCTTGGGTTCTCAAGGCCTCTCCATGAACGGGAGCATGTCCAAGCCCCCCTTGAAGCATCCTTTTCTCTTCAAGGAGCTCTCCTTCCTCCTTCTGATGCCTAAAACTCCACTCCAGTCAGCTCCACCCTCTTCTCCATCTTCCCCAAATTGGATTGCTCCAACTGAGCACCAACAAGCTCAGATCAATATCCCGTTTCTGACCCTGGATGAGTGTGAAGCCTTGGAGTGGCACCTGCTGCAGAGGCAGCTCCAGCTTCAGTGGGGCTTGCCAGATGTTTTCCAGAGAAATCAGCGCACCCAGAGCCCCATGCAGTATAAGCCCTGTGACAAAGCCCAGTCTTCTGAGACTGTGACAACTTCCTGGCCAGGGCAGCCCATCTCAGTCCTCACAAGGGAACTACTCTTGTTCCCAGAGCATGCCAGGAGGCTGCTGGAATTCCACCTCCAGTGACAGTTGATTCACCATCGCCGGGGCCTGCCCCAGAAGATCCAGCAGTCCATCCATTTGCTCCTGTCCCCTGCTGACGGGCAGACTCTCTCCTGGAGCAGCACAGCCCTAGACAATGTGGACGTCCCCCACCCTACAGCTCTAGAGGGCACTGGCGTTGGCAACCCATTCCCAGCCGTCAAGGACCCAGGGTCAGTCCCTATGCCGCACTTGTCTGACCAGGCCAAGGCAATATTGCAGAGCTACATCGACTCCAAATGTGGGAAGATTCACCAGGGCAAGGTTCCTGTCTGCGTATGTGGCTCCTGGGAGTGCAGAATTCCTGGGGTCCTGGAAGTGGCTCCCTTTACCTGCACCCCAGAAAGCAAGCCCCTAGAACTACAGGCAGCAAATGATCCAGACAAACAACAGAAAATTACACCCTGGATGCCAACGGCCCTTGAGCAGCAGCAGCAAACCTCACCAGGTGCTAACACTGAACATCCTAAGCTGCCCCAAGCCCTGTCCGAGGGAGCCACTGAGACACTGGAGACAGCTTTACGGCACAAGGATCTGGCCTTCTTGTCAGGGATGCCTGCTGTTTATTATGTGGCTCTCTCCACGGCCATGGCCCCAGCAATAACTTCCCAAGCTGTGAAAACAGAGATGGTGCCTGGCCTGTCGAATTTCCAGGAGAACCTCTGACTCAGGTGACCTTACCTGAAGAGCAGGGTCTAAGTCCTGGGCCAGGCTTTCAAGATGCCAACGAGACTTGTGCAGACATTGCAGGTGAATTCCAGGCTGAAGTGCAGAGGGAAGGAATAATCAAGATGGTGCCTCTAGAAAGCCAGTCAGAGCCTGTGAAGCCATACTCACTCGGGGAACCCATCTTGGCCAAACTAAATTTCCATCTGAGAAAGAAGATCCTAGAGATACAACTGGGAATTCCCCTAAAGGCAAGGGAGCCCTGGGAACAAACTGTAGCAATGCCAGAGAACATATGGACACAGGAGTCTCTTGGGAGTATAAACAACCACGGAAAAACACTGCTCCAGGAGCTCCCCATCCCACCAGATATGCCACGTGCCCTGGATCCAGAATGGCTCCACCTCAAACAACAACTGGCCACTGAGTTAAAGGCAGTGCATCAGAAACAGAAACAACCCAGGTCCAGGGCAGTACCCCATGATTCTGTCCACTGGGCCTCCAAGATCTCACAACCCAGTGGGGACATGACAGAGACCCAGGCGCTTTGTGTTCAGCTGGAGGCCAGTGTGAACAACCCCAGCCTAGAGGAGCCCCAAAGCCCTGACAAGAGCAAGGACTCATCCCAAGACCCCACACTGGCAGAAAAGAGAGAGAAGCCAGGCAAACCCAAAATGGCAGGGGACCACGGAGAAGGGGATGCCGGGTTTGCAGTCTCTTCCACAAGAGAAAAAAGCCACTCTGCTGAAGCCCAGAGGCCAGAAGGGATGCTTCTGAACGGGACACCCTGCAGCCCCTGGCAACAGAGACATCGCTATCACCTTGGTGCTCCCTGTCAGCACAGTCCCCAGCATCACCCTCAGCTTAAATTCCCAGAGATACCTCCTGTAGTCCCTGGGGGGAAAGACTCTGAGAAGAATGACCTGCAAGACAGTCAAGCCAAGCTCAATGTCATCCTCAAACCAGCAAGCGTTCCTGAGAATGTCCAGCCTGTGGTGCCCCAGGCATCATAGGGCCAGCCTTTCCTGGGCCAACTCATTCCAGGTAAGCCATTGCAGGGCCAAACTTTACAAGGTCAGGTTTTGCAGGGGCAGATGATGCCAGGCTATACTCACAAGAGGCCCAGCCTTCCAGAATCTGGCTTGAGAAATAAGATGAAATCTTTTCTACACTGTATTAACCCCAAAGCCAAAGGCAAAGGGCATGAGGAATCCATGTCCTCCCCATGTGAGAAAGTGGCTAACACAAGAAAAGAAAATGTAGCAAAGAGCCTGGCTCCAGCCAAAAGTCCCAAGGGGCGAACTAAGACAGAGGAGACAAGAGGGGACCCAAAGGCCCAATTTCTGCCTACTGAGAAGCAGGTGGGCCTGGCCTTCTTGGATGGTCCCCATTCCCCAGACAGTAAGCTCCAGCACCGCTCCCACTCCCATCAACTCCACTCTGCCTCAGTCCTGGGTATCCCCCGCCGCTGCCCTCGGCACTGTCCACGAGTGGCTTGTGCCATCCAACCAGGGGACCCGCCCTCACTCTCACCTCTCACCTCAGATGGAAACATTGGTCTGCTCAAGAAGACCCAGTGCATTCGAAAGACTCTGTAGTCTCCTCAACGTCTGCGTCCCTTGAAGAGGACTGCTACTGTCATTTTCATTAATGTACAGGTGGGCAGAGTGCCACCCAAAATATACTCTATATCTCTAAGCAGAGAGGTGTCTGTCTGCTCCTCCTCTCTACTGTGGTGTGTTCAAGGAAGGCATAAGGGAGGTAAATGTCCTTTTTATCTAGGGAAGGAGTTTTAACTCACACTTAAGCTGGGTCGCACTCCACACAACAACACCCCCTCCCCGGACTGTGGATAAAGGAACTGGAGCAGAGAAGGAAGGCCCTTGTCTAAGGTACACTGAAGGTAAAGGTCAGGCTTGACTTCTATTATGGCGACCTTGGGCCCAGAGGAGCCATGTGGACATGAGGATAGTACTGTCAAGAAGGAGTGGCCAGGAATCCCACAGGCAAAATTCACTGATGACTTCTATATATGCCCACAATCTGGAGGGGAGTGCCAGTCTTCCAACCTTGAGGAGGCGCTTTGTTTACCAACAGCATGTAGCTAATATGACTAACGTCAAAAGCAAATGGTAGAATCTCCCCTCTCTGCTCCCTGTTGGTTATTCGTTAGATCTTTCTGGAGAACTCACCTAGGAGGCTGCTGTAGCTCTCTTGCCTATATCTCACTTCCACTGCCTAACAGCTGCATGGTATGAATGACACCTGGAATGAAGATCACAGTAGGACATGGAGAGGGGCTTGTCCCCCACCCCCAAGGGTAGGCAGGGACAGAAGCAGAGAGGAAGACCATGTAGATGGGGGTCTGAGTCCCTGAGATAGAAGCTGACATGTTCCTGGGACTTCCCTGGTGGTCCAGTGGGTAAGACTCCACGCTTCCAATGCAGGGGGCCCAGGTTCAATCCCTGGTTGGGGAAGTAGATCCCGCATGCTGCAAGTAAGAGTCTGCATGCCGCAACTAAGAAGTCCGCATGCCACAACTAAGAAACCCGCATACTGCCACGAAGATCCCGTGTGCTGCGACTAAGATCCAGAATAGCCAAAATAAATAAATATTTTTTTTAAAAAGAAGCTGACATGTTCCTGAAGAAGGCATGATAAGAGAAAAGGCTGGTTTGCTATGTACTCAAAAGAAGTTGAGCCAGGAAGCCAACCCAATACCCAAGTGCTTTTAGAGCATGGAGAGGAATAAACTGAGTTTTAGTCTGTTGTCCATCGTGTGATGAAAAGAAGTGAGTTGAGCCTTATTGTCCAAAGGAAATGCAAATTAATTCAAAATTTCTGAACACTCACCCCCCACCCAACAAATCTGTTTCCCAATGTCAGGGATTGGTGTAACTATAAATCCATGTTTTTGCTCAGCCCAAACATGAAGTCAGTCACTGTGTTCTAATCTCGATATATCTCAATTTTGCCCCCTTTCTCCTGTGTTTACTGCCTCTGCTTGTTAGGTTTCTCATCCATAGGTATCTCATTCTTGCCTGAGTAATACAATAGTGTGTTATAACCCCAGGACTTAGGATAGCGGCTGGTGCATAATAATACCTTAATAGTACTTGAATCCAAAGTCGGGGCTGGGGAGGCAGACAAATCATTACATTCGTATGATGAGTGCTATGGAATAGGGAATACTGCCACAGGATTACTGGGGTAGTCAGCTGATGAGGACCCCAGAAGGGTCACAATAAAAAGAACCTTGATTATGCTGTACACCTTAAACTTATACAGTGCCGAATGTCAATTATACCTCAAAACTGGAAGAAAGGGGAATTCCCTGGCGGTCCAGTGGTTAGGACTCCGCACTTGCACTGCAGAGGGCACAGGTTCAATCCTTGGTCAGGGAACTAAGATCCCACAAGCCGCTCGGCGTGGCCGAAAAAAAACTGGAAGAAAAAAACTTAAAAAAAAAAACCTTGAGGGCTTCCCTGGTGGCACAGTGGTTGAGAGTCCGCCTGCCAATACAGGGGACACGAGTTCGTGCCCTGTTCCGGGAGGATCCCACATGCCGCAGAGCGGCTGGGCCCGTGAGCCATGGCCACTGAGCCTGCGCGTCCAGAGCCTGTGCTCCGCAACGGGAGAGGCCACAACAGTGAGAGGCCCGCGTACCGCAAAAAAAAAAAAAAAAACTTGAGATGTGTCTTATATTCAATTAAAATATTTGCTTACTTACTATATGCAAGGTACTACAGTAAACTTAACAAAGACACAGGACTTACACCACAGAGCTCATGATTTGATGTGATAGACAGTCTCACCTGCCCAAATTGTCTAATCAACATAAATACTTGAATGTCCAAAATTCACCTCTATAGAACAGTGAACTCCTGATTCCCTATTCCAACCATCATCTAATTACACATACATGCTCCAGTCACAGTATTCACAACATCAGTTAATAGCAACTCCATCTTTCCAGTTCTGAACAAAAACACTGGTGTCAACCTTCACATTTTTTTTCTAACCATCCACATCCAATCCATCCTGTTGTCTCTACCTTATGAAATGAATTCAGAACATGACCACTTCTCACTCTCTCTGCTGCTATGATTACTGCAGTATTATCATGACTAATCTCCCAGCTTCTGCCTGAGACCACACTTCCAACAGTCTTTTCTCAACAAAGAAGCTTGATGGTCCTCAGGGAAGGTCCTGGCTATAGATGATTAGATAGAAAGATAGATTACATCATGATGATGATGATGATCATGATGATGAAGAAATGGAGGAAGGGGTGAGGGAGGGGAGGGGAAAAATGAGGGGGAGGGGAGTGGGAGGAGAAGAATTAGGAGAATAAGAATAAGATAGATAGATAGATAAATGGAGATGTAAAACCATGAGACTGGATAAGATCGCCAAGGCAATGACTGCAAATGAAAAACAGATCTAGGACCAGGCTTTGGGATACCCCAACATTAAGAAATTGGAGAAAAAAGTGGGAACCAATAAGCAGAGACTGAGAAGTAGTAGCCAGTGAGGTAGGAGGAGAACCAGGAGAGTGTGGCATACTGGAAGCCAAGAGAGGAACGTGTTTCAAGAAGAAACTGGTCAGCTGCATGAAAAGTTGCCAATCTGCCAAGTAAGATGAGGACTCAGAGTTGATTATTAGATTTAACAACATAGAGATCATTCATAGCCTTGAGAAGACTAGACTAAGGTCAGAGACGGAGGCAAAGGCATAACTGGAGTGGATCCAAGACAGAGAGGAAGAGCAACTGGTGATAGCAAGTGTAATCAACTGCTTTAGGGAGTTTTGTTCCACAGAGGTGCAGAAAAATGAGGAGATAGAATCAAGAGGGCTTTTTTTTTTTTTTTTTTGCGGTACGCGGGCCTCTCACAGCTGTGGCCTCCCCCGTCGCGGAGCCCAGGCTCTGGACGCACAGACCCAGCGGCCATGGCTCAAGGGCCCAGCCGCTCCGCGGCATGCGGGATCCTCCCGGACCGGGGCACGAACCCACGTCCCCCGCATCGGCAGGCAGACTCTCAACCACTGTGCCACCAGGGAAGCCCCAAGAGGGATTTTTAAACGTAGGAGATATAGCTTGTTGGATGTTGATGGAAAAGAACCAGTCAAGAGGAATAAACTGATGATGCAGGAGAGAAAGGGGGAACTGCTAGAGCAATGTCATGGTGCAGAAGTAACAGAATAGGAGTGAGTCCCCAGGTTCAGGGGTTGGCCTTGGCTAAAATCAGTAATCAGTAATGAGGAGGGACTTTGTGTATCATGAAAAGAATGGTTTCCCTACAATTAAGAGAACGGGGCAGGGGCTTCCCTGGTGGCGCAGTGGTTGAGAGTCCGCCTGCCGATGCAGGGGACACGGGTTCGTGCCCTGGTCCAGGAGGATCCCACATGCCGTGGAGCGGCTGGGCCCGTGAGCTATGGCCACTGAGCCTGCGCGTCCAGAGCCTGTGCTCCACAACAGGAGAGGCCACAGCAGCGAGAGGCCCGAGTAGTGCAAAAAAAAAAAAAAAAAGAGAACAGGGCAAATACCTAAAGGGGTGAATGAGGAACTGGGAAGGATCGTGGCTGGGGGGAGGGCTGATACAGAGAGCCAAAGCCAGAGATGAAGAGGAATGCTGGAAGTTACCATGGCAAGAGGTTTTTTAGGGCCTAAGAAGTCAGTAGCAGCATGTGAGCCCAGGTGGGCAAAAAAAAAAATAGTTGAAGTTGGTGATCACATGTGTGAAGAGGGTGGTCTTGGAATATAGGGGGAGAGATGTCAGAAAAAGCTCTAGATGCACAGAGCATGAAGAGGATGGGGCTTGAGACTGAGAAAAAGGGCAGGTGTGGCATCCTAGTGTCCATCCAGAGACTGGGGATGTCTGAG